GGAATTACAGGCATGCGCTACCACGCCCGGCTGATTTTTTGATTTATTGTAGAGATGAGGTCTCGCTGTCCAGGTGGTTCTCGAACCCGCAGGCTCAGGCAATCCACTCACCTCAGCCTCCCAAAGGCGCAGGATTACAGGCTGAGCCACTGAGCCCAGCCAAACTTCTAATTTTTAATACAAAGTCAGTGCTCACTCCTCTCGGGGTAAAACCATCTTCTAAGTGAACTTTACCACACTCTCAAAACGTGGCTAGTGCCATGAACATGTGACACATTAAAACCCAACTCTACCATCTAATCACACATTGGTAAGTATGAATTATTTCAAATCACAAACATATAGACAGTCCTCACCTCACAATGGTTCAACTTAATGTTTTCTATTCAACTTTATGATAGTATGAAAATGATGCACAATCAATAGAAACTGTACTTCGAGAACCCATGCAACCATTGTTTTTCACTTTCAGTAAAGTATTCAGGAAGTTACAAGAGACAGTCAATACTCTATTATAAAATAGGCTTTGGGTTAGATGATTCTGCCCAACTGTAAGCAAATGTAAGAGTTCTGAGCATGTTCAAGGTAGGCTAGACTAAGCTATAATGCTAGGCAGGTTAAATGCATTCCATGCATTTTCAAAGCTGGGCATGGTGGCCCAGGCCTATAGTCCCAGTTACTAGGAAAGCTGAGGAGGATCACTTGAGCCCAGGAGTTTGAGTCAGTCTGGGCAACACAGCAAGACCCTGGCTCTAAAAAAAAATAAAATTTATACCAAAATGGGGCCAGGTGTGATGGCTCACGCTGTAATCTCAGCACTTTGGAAGGCCAAGGCGAAAGGATCACTCAAAGCCAAGAGTTCGAGACCAGCCTGGGCAACACAGCAAGATCTCATCTCTAAAAAAATAAAATAAAATTAGCTGGACATGGTGGTACCTACCTGTTGTCCCAGCTACCTGGGAGGCTGAGGCAGGGTATACAAGGTTGCAGTGAGCTATGATACACATCAGCTTCAGTTGATAGAGCAAGACTATGCCTTAAAAAGAAAAAATGGATTGCCTGAACTCAAGGGTTTGGGACCAGCCTGGGCAACTTGGCAAGACCTCATCTCTACAATAAATCAAAAAATTAGCCGGGCATGGTGACACACGCCTATAATTCCAGCTACTTGGAAGGCTGAGGCAGAAGGATTGCCTGAGCACAGCAGCTCAAGGCTGCAGTGGCCGTGAGCATGCCACTGCACTCCAGCCTAGGTGACAGAATGAGACTCTGACTCAAAAAAAACAAAAACAAAAAAAAGAAATAAAAAATGGGCTTATCGAGATGTAACTCCATCTTTAAGTCAAGGAATGTCCATACAGGGAAATAATACAAAAGGTTAATATTCAATATGAAGACAATTTTTACTCTTTAATAGTAAAAATACCCGGTAAGTCTAGAATCCACTCAATTCATAAGTATGATTTTATTAAAAGATGAATCACTTCCAAATTATTAAACAGTCCCTATAACAATGGATACCACACAAACTGCTCCTAGGAGCAGACATCCATTTTCATCCTTACCTCGTCATCTCGAGGCTTTACTTACTTGACCAAACTGTTTTAAGTCCCACATCCTATGTATAAAGTGTGTCACTTCCTCAAAGATCAAGGAAGTATCTGAGTGGGCAGAAGAAGAGCTGGTTAACCTGGAAAAGGAGTGTCTATTTACTCAGCACTCACAAGCCCTGGTGTGAAAGTTCACCAAGTCACTTACCTCAAATTCTTAACATGGCAAAGAGTATTTTTAACGATAACAAAAGGATAGTGGGAAACTGCAAGGGGAGGGCGGGGGCGGGATGGGTAGTAGTGGGAAGCTGCCAGGGAGGGGAGGCACACCGCATCAACAAGCTTACCTGCATAATGATCATTTGTATACCCAACCCTGAATTGTACCCCACATATTTAAAATAAAAAATATTTTAAAAATAAAAAAGATAACAAAAGGAGTAAGTCAGTGGTTAAGAGGAAAGGTCAACAAGAGGACCTAAAGGATAGGAACAGACCCAAGTCGGATGAGTAATGATGGTCCCTGGATCACATGCAGGAGTGAGGTGAGGCCTGTCCGCAGCAAGTGCCCCAACTCCCACCACTCCCTAGGTCAGAGGCTCCCGACCAAAGGGCCGTATATAGACCAGGCAATGTTCACACTACTAAAGACATTGTCAAAAAAATGAAAAAGGTTGCAGCAAAGTATAAAGGAGGTCCACCCACCTCCTGGCAGCTCTCACAGCATTCTAACTTCACTTCAACATCTGCCTTTCTGAGCCACACAGCTTCACTTTTCCAAAAATGTATTTTTAACCCTACGAGGTTCCAAAGTTGGAGGGCAGGGACATGACCAGAGTAAGGAACAGCATTTTATTATGTTGAAGATGGTAACACAACCTGGGATACGATGAGACCTGGAGACTCTGGTTAGGTGAATGCTAGTGTGGATGCAGTTGCTATGACAGGGTATGGTTCACTCTGGGAGACTGACGCAGGCACTAACTATGAACTGTTCCAAGTCTGTAGACTAAAATATTTTACAAAATCTAAACCCCTAAAAGATGTGGTAAATGAACAAAATCACATTTTACATGAATATTAGGATGCTGCATAAACAGGAAATGCAATGACAACCCAGCATGGCTCCCTGCAGGCCTGTGCCTGAGTCCTCCCTGTGTCTCTCACTTGAGGCTCATTCTCAACCCAATGCTTGGATGCGCTTACCTCTGAGGGGGAATATAAGGAGCACACACAGTCGGCAGGACAGCACAAGGCTCAGCCAGTGCTTTTTTAGCCTTTTTTGCTTTCTTCCTGACCTTGGATGTGGACCTGACTGTTTTGACCGAGCTCTCTTTTCGACAGACACCGTTTTTCATTTCAACATCCCCGTAAATGTTCAACGGCCTCCGGGTGCAGCCTGGAGGCGTATGGACATCACAGTAAGCGGTCTTTCTGACGGAGAAGGTGGTGCTACCGCCAGTCAGTTCCTTCACAGGCTCCATTTTCATGTACAGGCCAGCCTTCTGGGCACACGTCACGTGGAATGCTGTGTAGCAGTTTGCTTTGTGGCACTGGATGCAGGCGCCCACGCCCTTCTGCTTACAGAGGTAGCATGTCAGTTTCCACCGGGCTGGGGGGATGTTCCTCACACCATCAATGGGTTCAATGAACACCGTGTTGGCAAAGCCAACCTCTGGGATCCACAAGGCGCATACCACATGACCCCAGCGGTCATCATCCGTCTTTTTGAAGGCACCACCCTTGTTGGGACACAGCACACAGTCAGCAGGCCGGGCCCGGGACTGTAGGCAGTGGCGGCAAAGCCACTGGCCCTCAGGGATATAGGGCACTCCGTAGCACTCCTGGTGCACGGCCAGGTTACACATGTCACAGAAGAGGATTACATTGCTGTTCTGACACTCTCCATCCATGCAGATGCAGCACACAGCATCCTCATCGATCAAAGACTGCTGCTCACCCTGCTTCTGGTTCTCGCAGTATGACTCCTTCTCAAAGCGGTCCATCAAGAACTCAAACATACTCTGCGACACGGCAGAGACACAGTCACCCTTGCGCTTCTCGTTGATGATCTCCAGCCAAGCATAGTCCTCCTCATCCATGTCATACTCCACCTCATTGTCCAGTTCCTCAGCTGACTTCTCAATGAACTTGTAGTACACGGGTGGCCTCCTGGGAGCAGATGGAGGGCTGTACTCCACAATCCGCACCTTGGGCTCAGGAAGGGCACTGGCCGAGGCTGGTGTGCCATGGACGCTGGGAAGGGCTTCATTTTTCTTTTTAACTCTGTTGTTTTTGTGACGCTTAGTTCTTAAGCAAACGGGTGGCCTCTCACTGTTTTCCTTATTGCTGTTGCATTCACTCATTTCTTGAGCAGTGAGGTCATCTTCTAATATGATCTCCAGGGGATCAAAAATACTGATCCTATGCAAGCGCCCTTCAATTTCTATCTCAACCATCCTCTGAGCTTGTGCGTACGTTAACGTTTCTCGAGTCGGAGAGTGTTTAACACTGCACGGGGAGGAAGGATGCCTCGCTGCAGAGCCTCGATGACATCGTCCTTTCCTCCTCATTTGGTAATGATTACCTACAATAAAATCAAAGATAAAGTTAATTCTATGCAGGTTGACAAAAGGCTTCTGAAAATCCCAAAAGTACACTTGGGTAGAACTAGCTAACCAAGTCATCACTCTAGCAAAATGAAACTCACAGCTAAAATATTTTTGAAGTTTCAAATACCACTCATCCCTGGATTCAGGATCATATCCACAACCTTCCAACAGCCCATCCTCGCCAGGTCTCACAGTGACTCCCTAGGAGCAAAGGAGAGAGCAAAGGCACCAGGAGGGGAGGCAGTGTGGAGGAGTACCCTCCAGACCCCTGCTGAGCACCTAGTCCTTTCACAGAGCTAGGATTCCCACAGCTCAGTCGTCTTTCAGACCACACCCACAGACTGTGGAGATGACAGGAACCCCTCCAAAGTAGGGGTCCTGGCCCTGAACCCATGACCAAAGGACTTTCCTGGCATGCGGGCAGTCACCCAAGAAATCCACACACAGGGCTGGACCCCAGCAGGCAGAGTCTGTATCCACAGGGCAGACACATTCAGTAGCTACTTGGTCCTATCAGATGCTCTCCTAAACCACTCTTTCCCTTTCCCACTGCTCCCAGGAGAGTGACTTCATAAGCCCAGGTGCACCACAGTCCTTGTAGCATTCTTGCTAGGAGCCAGCAACTTCCAAGGTCCTACAACATAAGGAGATAAGAGAGACCACGGCCTGTCCACCCTCTCTATGAACACATCCTCCACATGCACACCAAGGCACAAAGGACCAAGAGGGCAGCCCTGCACTGAACTGGAGGGACAGTCTTCACTCCTGGGAGGGTCCAACCCCGCTTTTGTAGAGTATTAGCAGAGACAATCAGGGAAACTCCCATAGACCAAAATAGCCTGCCTCTCCCCCTCAGAGCCGTTCTCGGTCTTGGCTTGATCACTGTGCTGGCCAAATCCTCCTCCTTTTTGAGTGAACCCAGATATGTACAATACACCAGTGGGCATCTCTGCTCTCTTCCCAGTACACTTGGACAAGCTGCTCTGCTCTCGCTTCATAGTGATGATCAATCCCTCAAGAGCCCCGTGCGACCCGCAAAGCCCCCCACCAGAAAGGCTGCAAGTGCCAGCTCAGGTGCCTGAAAACTTGGCCACAAACACTTGAGAATTTACTCTTTTCAGAAGTGGACAAAACCAGTGAACTGACACCTGTACACTCACCTCCTCGTGGCAGAGACCTCTGCCATCAGAACGCCACTAAGTCTGTTTTCAGTGTTCCCTGGTGTGGCCTGGTGTGTGGGCATCTTCTGTAAAGACCACCACCTGCAGGGGCAGCAGCACTGGGGACCTGCTCAGACTCCTACCCCTAAAACCACATTTTACTAACAGAAAGCAAAATGATTTTTAGGAGATTGCTCACAAAACAAATATTCCAAGTTGAAGCCCAAGGCCTACTCTGCATCTGGTCCTGCCATGTCAGGGAAGCTGGCATCAGGTCCTGGGGTGAGTGGGGGCACCTGCAGGAACTTAAATCGTAGCCTCACACTGATCTACTGGTCTTCAGGAAGAGCACTCAAAGAGTAGGCCTCACTCATTAAATCCCAAAAGAAAATCCCAACAAATCCTAAGTGCATGTTTTTCCTAAATGTATTTTTTTAAGACAGTCCCTGTGGATTATAGTTTTCTTTTTCTGTATCAATAGAAATCTACATTTTATGTTGAAATTAGATAGCAATTCCCTATGGTACATGGAAGAAAACGTGGTCAGCCAAACCCCAACTCACCTGCATCTCAGGGGTCGCCAGGCACCCACTAACCCTGGATCCCCATGAAGTTAGCAAAGCCATCAACCAGCAGTCCCTGTGCCTCTAGCAATAGACCCTGCAATTACTTCTAAGGTGAGAAGGGTGCAGCCCCAGGGTGTCAGCCTACAGAGAAAGGACCCAAGTGCATCCAGAGACAGCTTCACAGGTCATTACTGAGGTGGGGCAGAAGCAACAGTTGGTTACTCACCAGATTAAAAACAAACATGCAATTTTCCCCTCTACAGCAAAGTACCAAGTAGCTCTAACTATAACTAGCCCTTCAAAGCTCACACTCTCAAAGTGACCACTGAAGCTCTTTAACACTTTCTACAAGGGGAAGAATTTAACCAAATACTCGATGGTCATAGAAGCTCTATAATTTGAAAATGTAACTATAACCAGGGGGAAAGAGGGTATCTAGAAGCACCAGCACAGTGACCAACAGCCTCATCTGCTTCATCATGTCCCTACCGGCTCTGTATTTGGCCCTTCAACTCTGTCCACACCCATACTTGACCCTTCTACGGAGAGGGATAGACAAAGACAATGTGTATGCTTCTCACGAAATAATTTTGGTAAATACGTTCGGAAAAGCTTTGTGGGCCAAAAGAGGGGAAGACACCTCCCTAAAGACCAGCTTATATTCTCAAATCAGTTCATTTCCTGCCTGGCTTTGGAGAAGCCATTTAAACTCCCCAGCCTTATAAAGCACACAGGAATAGTATACACCTCTCAGAGTTGTGTGAAGATCAAACGACTTAACATAAAGCACTCAGGGCAGTGCTGGGAAGAGCAGGTGCTAGGCCAGGTAAACACATAATACCCTATTTCTCTATACTATACAGAATTACCCGATGACAGACACTTAAAAACTTTCCCAGGCAAGGGTGAGTTTTCTGGGGTGATGGGAACGTTCTCCACTTGGGGAGAGGTGTCCTGGGTGTACATAAATTTGTTAGAACTCAACCGTACACTGACAGGAGTTGCATTAGACCTCATTAATGTCACTTCTTTTTAAAATGGCCCAGGAAGCTGGGGTACACGTCCATTTCAAGGCGACTCCCTGCACAGATCCTGGGAGACTGGCCGTGCAACCGGCGTGCTCCCAGGCCAAGCTGAGGCCCGGCGCGGGCGCCACAGCCACACAGGGCCGCCCCCTCCTCCGCAAGTCTTCGGAGCGCGTCCCTATTCACAGGGAGTTTCCTGTCTTGGCAAAACAAATCGGGCCTATCTGTTACATAATGCGGCGGCTCAAGTACGGTGGAGATTCTAGCCCTGACTCGAGCGCGGACTCCGGGCGGGGACCATGGCCCCGGCGCCGCCCGAGACCCAGGCTGCAGCCCGGCTCCAGGCCCAAGGCCCGTCGCCCGACAGCCCG